GTCACCTTGCATGGGAATGCATAGTGCTAATTGTTGCAGAGCTAATAAAAGATCCAAATATCCAAACGTTTAGGATTTTCGAAATCTAATAAGAAATTACTCCATTCGCACATGCCTTTAGGAAGGTAGTCGCCCAATTTTTATCGGTTCTCATTAGGTCATGTAGCGTGGCCTTTTATTCCTCTTAGCTCTGCAATTACAGTGAAGACAAACGCCGAGAGTACTAAATTAAACAAACGAGAGGCAAGAATGGTTTAGAATGTAGGAGGTTATCATGGATTGAAAATAAAAACTTGAAAACCTCAGGCTGAATTATGCAAAATGTACTGAACAGTAAAGTAGATCCCTTAATCTTGGTGAGGTTTTTTTTCGCGGTTCACACGCTGTCGAACCTTTTCTCCCAAGTAAACATGCGGCGTAGGGCTCAGCAGAGTGTAATATGTTTTTATGAAGTTTTGTTACACTGCTGTCTCAAGTAATGCAATGTTATTGTTAATCTCTTTAAAATCTCAGAACGCAGAAGAAAAGAGGAGTACTACAATGAAGAGCATCAGATCAAATGGGAAATAGAAAAACAACCGTCTTCTTATTATTCAGATTTATGTAATCGATGGGTGTCTTTAGCTGGGGTAAGTGAACGATTTATATGTTAATTCTCCTTTCTAGGTGTTACGTATTTCTTTGTACATCAGTTCAGAGGATCTGGTACGACACCAAGATCATAATTCATAATTCATGATCTTCCGAGGACTTAAAACAACTTATGAAATTAAGCTACTGTATCGTAAAGGAATTATTGGGCTATCTATAAGAACGCGCCTGGAAAAAAACACTAGTTGAAATATTCGTGCCAAGTTTCACTGATTGTTTTTTTTCTGCTTTGGTCAACCAATGATTTCATCACTTATAACTGATGTATTTAACTTGCAGGCGTTTGCCAGTATATTAATTATGTTCCTTATTAACTGGGGCTACGCCCTCGCCAACATCTCATTGGCGTTATTAGTGTACATATATATTGGTCAAGCAAACCCAGGATTATCAAAAGGTAGGCCAGGATTTTCCTTTGTAATAACAGAAGTGAATTATTTTGAAAATCTGTTGTCCGAAGAATCGTATGCCATACTCTACATTATTCCGATGTGGTCAAATTTCAATATTTTTCAACCATTTGACGTAAGGGTATTGTATCTGCAGCTGTTTATTTTTTTCTGCTTTGGAAATGTTTGAATCTAGTGTTTTGCAAATCTGGTTTAGCCGAAAGACTCGGTGGCCTGGGGTTTAGCGCAGTTAAATTTGCGTCAAGAAGTCTGGATCCAAACCAAAATGGGGTTTTACTGTGGAAACCTTGCTCGTAAGGCAAGCCATTCGACTACTTCTCCTTCCGTGATCGTCCGTTCAAATTCAAACTGTAGTCATCATCTATTACAGACTTAGTTGGAAATGGCTAAATGGCGAAATGATAACAAAGTTCACTGTATTATATTTGTAAACCATCTTGATCATCATTGTGATGTACGTGGTATTTTGTTTTGTCTTTACAGGAGTTGCTTCAGATTTCGTGTTCTCTAAGTGGGTTCAATCCTTGTGGGACAAGCTTACAAGGTAACCTTCATGTGCGCATGCTAGAAATAATTATTTTATGTTCCAATTTATCTTGAGTCATGTAAAAATCATAATGTTTGCTTACAAAAAAAGCAAAATAAAGACGAAACTGAAAAAATGACGACAAAAAACAAACCAAACAAACAAAAAGTACTCTGTCGTTAAATGACCGTGTGAACTCCTGATCTCGTATTTAAAAGAGGCGAGAAAGTGTGTAGTTCTCAATTCAACCACAACTGTTTGTGAAGTAAGGGAAAACGAAAAGACACTGAAGAGAAAACCTACATCCGTTTTCGGGTTGGCAGAGTAAATTATCATCCTCTAGTCGATCTCCAATGGTGTGTATTAAACCCCCGTGTTCTTTTCTCTTTGTAAACAGGAAAGAATCTTCACAACAACAAATCGTTGTACCGATCAGCGGTATTCCTTATCAGATGTCCACCTATCAGCTGACAGAAGAGAACACAGACTTTTCGTACCGAGATAAACGGCACCAGTCCTCTATGGTAACAAGCATCGGACCCCAATGACGTGATAATGTCAGGAGATCAAGAGGAGGAAAGGTTCTTTTTCGGAGAAGTATTTATTGCGTTACCTCGCTTATGAAAGTCAATAACTGTGCAGTTATGGTCATTTTGTTAAATAATTTCTTCGGACACTTTTCTGAAACCTCCATTGACAGAGCTGCTTTAAGTTCTAGTTAGTTATTTAAAAAGTTGTCGAATTTCAATCGTTTTTGTTACATATTTGTTCCAATTAATTTTCGCAAATGCCACAAATCTAGCTCAGTCATTTTTTTGAATTTTCGAGTTTACTGGTCCCGCGATGATGATGATTAGAATGAATAATTAGTGAAAAATGGTTTACCTGAACGCACAACAGAGTTATTTGTAAAAGGGAATTTATCATTTTGGGTGAGTTACACCTTAAAGAATTTTGAAAATACAAATGGTTATGAAGTTGTTATAAATATTGGGTTGAATGTAAGGTTTGTTTTGTAAATACTTGGAAGAATTTATTTATATTTTAGGATACTTAATTTTCTGAAGCCGTCGATCCAAACAGATCCATAGGGTGTATTTAAGTTCAAAATGAAGAATGTTTCATCGGAAAATTTTAATTTATTGACATGTGCAGAAGTTTTATTTTTTTTCCTATTTTGTTTGAAAGGGTAAATAGATGAAAAATATGTATAAAAAGATTGAACAAAAACGGAGTGACAAACATTTGAGGAAATGCTAGGTATTTATTAATTTATCCTCAAGGGTTACTGATTTCGACCGTTTGTAGCTGAGAAGTTCAAGTAGTCCTTTTATTCAAGGCTTTTGTTACTTCTGTAGAAGTGGTATTCTATTTGCTTACAGAGCGGTTTTCTGTCGAGTGTCGTCATGGAATCTTGGAGAATACCAAGGATCACAGTAGCCAATCAATGATGACATTACATTGAAATAAACGAATGAGAACGCGAAGAAGATACTTGTGATCAGGGCCTTAGTCAAGCGCGGGAAAACCGGCGCGTGGGAGTGCCTTTACAGCAGAATTTTTATTTAGTAGTCTCCTTTATCAATTTTTTGCATACCCAAATCTGGTCGAGAAAGTGGCGTGAGATTTGAACCATAGAGCCCGATGAGGCAAATCTTGAGCAAAATCAAGATTCCTCGCACTTAACAGTAAACCGCTCAATTGGGAGAAAATTTAGCGGGCGAAAGACGTGTAGAGGTAGGAACTTTACACACGAAGAAACAGAATCCCAAATTGAATTACCTGAATTAATTTCTTGTCATTTTGAATCGCTGGCTCAAAGTCATGAACTCCAAAAAAAAAAATTTGAAATTAGTATCCAAGACAGTTCTGTTTCTTGACTTATTCTATGAGTGTTCTTTGTGTTACCTTTCCATCTTTGGTTTTTGTTTACAATGACAAATCAATTTACGTTTTTTCGGTGTCTATTTATCCCTTTTCTGAAAAGTGTTTTAAAGTAGAACTCAGTTGACAAGTCTGTTTCTGTTGTTAATGCTTTGTTCGCGAAGTGAGCCGTTTTTCTCGCAGCCTTTTAGACTAACGGGGCTACAAGCCTAACATACCAAAACTCGAAGGCAGCTGAAATTTTTTAAACAATATAGGATAGTGAGAATTCGGACAGAATTTGCAGTAAGCAATATTTTTTTTTTAAAAACTACGTCTTCAGGGCGTGGTACGAGCTACTCTCGAAAGGGTTTTAGATGTAAATTTTTCGTGAGAAAGTAATCAATAATTTACTTAAAATAATTTGTCGAGATTCTTCTGAAGAGCTTGGTGCCGGCGGCTGCACCTTATTAGTTTTTGCTTTTTTTCTCTTTTTGCACTTAAAATAAACGTCCACATAGATAGGCTTAAACATTGCTTGTGAACAAAGATTTAACAACAGAAGATCAAGAACAAACTTGTTTTAAAATCTTTAACTTTCTCTGGAACTGTTGTTGTTCCATTCATAATGGAATGAAATAAACTCCTCGGATTATGACTATACAAGTTGTCTGAATGATTGATAAAACTATTAAGGGTGTTGGCTGGGATATAACCTATATGTCACTCGGCTTTTTTGAACGAATTTCACTTCAATCAAATGTTACCTCCTATCTCCTGTTTGTTTTTTTAAATTTTATGAAGTTGGAAAAAAAAACTTCGATACGCCAACAAAATGATCATGTAGATACATATATTTCATCGTGTAAAAAGACTACACCCACCAGTTCATTTTCAGCACTTTAATCTTGTTTTGATCTGATTTGAACGCGTATCAGCTGTTCATAGCACCTGGGACATCTGGTTTGGATTGGCCAGCAAATAATATGAGTTTTATAATTGTGATGTAAAGTGAGGAATTGTGCATCTTTCTTCAATTGAAGTAAAGATTTATTTTTGTTTATGTTCATTGAAAGCGCATCGACAAAGTACCAAGAACCACGGAGTTTCGTTAAAAATAATCCCTTTTTTAATACACAATAACAAATAAATTCCAACTAAGTCATAAGTCTCCATCTTTGAAGCAACATTTCCATAAGAATGTCTTTGGAAAAACTATAATCCATTTCGTTAATTACTTAGGGAAATTCTATGCCTACAGACCAGTTAAGATTTTGATCTGAGGACAAATAAAATAGTTATTTTGAATGAATCGGTTTTTTTCCTTCGGAAAGCATGTGATCTCCTGTGAACGGTTAAAGTATGAACTGAGGCGTTTGGTCAGGTCCAAAAGACATTAATGAATATGACTGTTAATTATTATTTTTGTTATGAAAACCATTTACCGGTTCTTTGAATTCGGTCCGCAATCAAAAGGAAATGAACAAGGAGATGACGTCACGATCCTGGCCAAAGGTACTCGCTTTCTGCCAGAGCCAGCCATAGCGAGTGATTTATATTATTAAGTATTGTACCAGACAATCTACAGTTTTTTACAGTTATTCAAGGAAAACAGGACTTTACATTCTGAAAGGCAAAGGTAAGCAAACTTTGACCTAGTGTAAACATTACAGGAGTTAGTCGAATTATTGTTGGCATTTTATCAATGCAGGATGAAGGTCAACGCGGTTAAGATAACTATCATTACCGCCTCCGAGCAGGTGAACAATTAATATGCTGGAAAATTGTATTACTGAATCGACGACGACTATCCCTTTTCTCACCATACCAGTTTTTGCCGATAAATCAGGAAAATAATTCAGTTCGCCAGATGCAATTGAGGTTGGTCACGGTACAACTCGCTAATTGGGTAGGCCTTGCATTGCTAGAACTGGTAAAAGCAAAACATGATTTCAAAAGGCCTGCTCTTGTTGTGCCTAGTACACATTTCAAAGAGGTATTACGACTTGGAGTACAGATGATGACTGTTTGCTCGTTCTTGACAGAGCAGGTTTAAATTTCGCGCATCTAACATGAGTCCCTCACTTGAAGCATTGCTTATTATATTCAAACCTTAAGCAGCAGTAATGTGGATTTTGAAACATTACTTGAACTAAAAGCGACTCGTTACCGATGTATTGAAAAACAAACAAACATAAAACATCTGGATAAAGGGGCTAAGTTTCTGAAGAAACTGTGCTGCTGCGTCGGTGGGAAGTATGGCAGGTAATTTAGTGTTAACAACTGAGTTGAGAACGTAAATTGGCCACTGTTAAGAATAAAAAAGCTAAAATAAAAAGTCTGGGACACGTCGAAAACTGAAATGATTCCGATGCTTCCGATTGGACACAAAATTAGTAAATGTTAAATTTGAACAGAAGAAAAAAATACAAACATATATATGATTTGAAAAAAAAAACGAACATATTTAAAATTAATATAATAATTCAAAATTAGCTAACCCTAAGATTAATTGATTGGAAACAAATCGCTCAACGTCTATATACATCATAGAATTAGATTTAGATGAGAAAGGGAGAGGGCCATTACAGGCATCATTCACTGGTGCTCTCATTATTAGTTTGGAATAGACAACTGTCTTACATAGGACTTGCATTTTTAACCCTCTAACATATATTTTTCTATTTTTTAAATAGATTATTCTCATTACTTTTTTAGTTTTAAGTTTTTTTCTCATTGATTTGTGCCATTTTAAAATTGCAATTATTGTTAAAATTAATTCGAAATAAAAACATCTGGAATTCATATGCGTAGGAAATTAATGCATTTCATTTTCTGTCCAAGGATTTATAGAAAAAATGATCTATGGATGGTGAAAAAGACTGCAAATTGTCTTCGTTTATCTTATGGGAGGAAAGTTCCCGACATTACAGTAATGATGTCATCATATGCACTGTAAACACCATAAGTGCTGTCTTCGCTTTCTTTTGTAACCTGGCCATCATTGTGACGATAAAGAAGAAGAACCTGATTCAGACTCCGCGTGATATTCTAATTGGTAGCCTAACCTTTTTAGACTGCATAGTTCCATTAGTAGCTAAGCCCTTATTCATAGCATTGCGCATGTCACTTCATGATGATCATGTGACCTGCTCCCGCCTGCAGCAATTGACGAAAGCTACAGAGTTAGCTGTGATGTTTGGTTGTGGTTGTTCCCTCACGCATATTGTGTTGATCGCCGGAGATCGATACCTTGCCCTACGTAAGCCAATAAAGTATCGAAGACCACGCACAAAGAAAGGTGAGAAGCTTGGATACTTTATCACTCAATTTTTCAAATTTGTCCGTGTTTTATTTTATCTTCACAAATAGCGCGTCTCCCCAGCGACACTACTAGGGACATTAGAAAGAGCACAACGGCGACGGCAACGCGGACTTGGCTAAAGGAAAAGTCTAGTGAATTGAACAATTGCTCAGCACATGCGTTTTTAAACTTTGTACACATCTTCAAATCACCAAAATCTACGTGGTCTGAGAACTGGCATGATGGAACCCCTACGGCAAATTACTTGATTTAAATTTCGATTTGGAACTCAACGCTGTTCACAAAGTTGAGGTGTGGCGCTATAAGAGACGGTAAACAAATCCAGCCATTCGCGAAATTCTGAATGAAGCGATAAATTATTTCCATAATTGACGTTTTCCTTGACGTTGTCGTCCTGACTGCTTAAGGTCACTATTAAATGACCTCAACTCCCCCACCCTTCCCCCCCCCCGTCACGCCTTACTAAGAAAACTGCAACCATAGACCAATCATTGGACGCTGATTATACGCCAGCGTCATATTAAAGCCCGTTTCTACGTTGGTCCAGCTGTCCTTGGATCTGGCAGGGTCTTGATAATAACTGGTGTCTAATGTAAATAACCCAAGTCAGATGTACACATAGGATTTAATTTCAATTCTTCCACCTCACTGAGGATATCACACAGAAGATTCAGCAATATTCTTCTAACATTTGTTTTCTTTTTTATCTTCCTTTCTTAGTGGCCATCACGTTTGCTTGTACATGCTGGGCAATCTGGAGCCTCATTGTCATTATTTTTGATAAAATCATTCCAAGACGTTTTGAAAATTTCTTGAGAATTTTCATAGCCACAGTGCTTCTAACTTCGCTCGTGTTTTTAAAGGTAAAAGCCTTTCTGATCGTCTACCGATTCAATCAAACTTTAGTACACGATAGCAATTCCCTCAAAGTCGAAGGACTCACTGAAAGGGACAGAAAAGTGCTGATTGACACAACGTTCATTTCAATCACATTCATGCTGTTGTTCATTCCAACAGCTGCTCTGATTGTCATTAGACCGGCCGGTATCTATGGCAACGTCGTGTTTCCCTGGTCAATGACTATAACTCTTCTGAATTCCTTGATTAATCCCATGATTCACGTCTGGCGCAACCGCCTTTTGAGAAGAGCGATGTTAGATTTGTTGACTACTGAGCACTAAAAAGAAATTGAAACGTGATAAAGGGGTAAATTTTTTAAGATAATGCGGTGCTACGTCTGTGTGTGTGTGTGTGTGGAAGGGGGGGAGAGGGAGGGGGTATAATTTAATTTAACAACTGAGTTTATAATGTGAATTGACCGACATAGGGAGTATTTAAGGCTGAGGTTCGAGCGTAATCTCTTCGTTAGAGTGAACTGTTCATGAAATTTCAGTAGCACTTGGTCATCGCTTTTCTCGCTCCGAGAATTAATTTTACTGATGATACATTGCTATTTTGAGGATCTACTGCAATTTTTTATTTCAGCTATTTATTGTGCGCATTTATTTTGTTTTGAAGAAAACATCGTCCTTTAAGATCTTTGCAAAAACTTGTAAACGTGCTCTATCAACTCTGAATTGACCTCGAAGTAATCATCACTGGATTAAGCCGACGTTATTGTTTACCTAATATAGTATGTCAACAAGTAACTTATGGGACCCTATATAAAAAAGACTTAACAACATTGTGATAAGGGAACTAACAGAAAAATGGTTGGCCACAGTGATTGTCAAGGAATGATTCTTAATTACATGATGTTTTGGGGCTCTACAAGCACAGTTAGTTAGTAATATTTGTAAGGATAAACCTATGTTGGGCCAAGCTACAGAGAAATGCCACAAATATTTCGCTGAAATGCAAGAACTTTATTAACTTTGAAAATCGCCGACAGACTTCAGTCCAGAACGGGATGATCCACTAAATGTAATAGGTTTCGTATAGTTTCAAAATTTTTCTGATAAAGTCATGAAATTAAATTTGGCGATGACCATAACTTTGGTTAATGATAGTAGTAGCAGTATTCAAGTTTGATATTCCTTCCAACATAACCATAAGGTCTGGATCCACCGCCATAGTTTTTCGGAAACCAATCTTCACAATCCCATTGGAAATATTCACTTCGGACTCGCATTCCTCGGACATGCTGACACTGATGAGTGTTGGACTTCAACAGCACGAATGGGGAGTCCGTGGGAAGAATTATGGCATTGGTGGCGTGACCATCCGTGCGGCAGCAGTACTGAATGTGAGTGTTCCTGTCATACACGCCGTCTGGAAGCGCTCCAGAGTGTCTGTTTTTATTGTTACTGTTCTCGTCATCCCATCTGATGTGTCCTTGCTGGAAACCTGAGTAATGAGTGATTAAGAGAAGACCCCGTCTTTGATTGTAATAATGCTAAGAAATTCATCATTTCCGAACGGAGCGGAGCAACAGCCTGAAGAAAAGTAACGACCTGCATTTTGGCTCACATCAGTGAGTCCCCCTCTCCTATATGTTCCCCCCTGTCTGCAGGTGAAGGCTCCATAAATCAATGAGGTGGGGGGAACGTTTCTCAGGCGTTTACAGCAATAAGTGTTCAGGGAAATATAATTAATCTTATCCAATTTTATCTTTGACAAATTTGTTAACAGTGCTTACCTTCGGCACATTCTCCCTTCTTCAGAATACAGTATTGACCTCTTGGCCACTGCAGACCATTTTTCTTGTCTCCTTCCTCTGTCTTCATGCAAAACTTCTGCTCCATGTTGCTTTTGGCTAATGACCCTGCCAAGTCATACGGACTTGACCAGCGGTTCTTTCCAAAAGCATCCTCAGTATCTTGGTAGCGGGTTCCAACGTGCCAAGCAAACTTTGTACTCTTAGGACAACCTGCCTTTGGCATGGGAAGGCCATACGTTCCAACTGGCCAAGTGAGAGGAATTCGTACTTCAGGATCTGCAAATCGCGCATGAGAAGGTTAAGTTGACTTTGAGGTACAAGGCTAAATTGTAAAATCAGGAAATTTTTAATTTTCAAAACTATGATTGGATTCTCAAACTTTTTGGTAAGAAAGTAGCTAAAAAATATGAACATGCAAATTCCAGTTGATGTCCTTGAATGAAAAGGTTAAAACCTAAGGGAAAGATAAATGAATATCAAAATGTCACTCACATTTTCCCTTGACCTCACCTTTCACCTTAATTTCTTACCTGTAGGCACCTCAGCTTTCTTGAGTTTCGGATACTCTTCTAATGCCTTCTTGACGTGTTCCCTTCGAGTTCCGACAAGCTCGCTGGAATGGACGCATCGTGCAGAGTTCTGGTGATCAAGCTTTGCGTAGAAACTGACATCAAAGGCTTCGTATATTGGCACAATCCTTATTCCAATAGGCTCAGGCATATCAACGCCTCCGGATGTGAACGACACCTTGTGTTCTCCGAATTCGGTTTTATCCGACATGGATTCTTTAAATTTTTTCATGTCAACTTTCAGGGAGGCCTTGAAACCCATATAACCTCCTGAAACGGAAACTGAGTTTTCCATCTGAAAAAAAAAGTAAAACCGTTACAGATTTACTGAAAGTTCCCCAAAGAAGGTAACCAAAGTAATGAAATAATCGCCAAAAGAACGTCTTTAGAATGACTGCCTTGGAGTGAAAACTAAAGTTATTATAATTACTATGAAAAGGAAGATATATAATTTTAAAATGGAACCAATAATCCTGATAACCTTGAGTTACATGGGTGACCGACCACTTGCACGGCAGAGCAAGGGCGACTACTTCTCGAATGTTTTTCTATTTTCTTCAGATTGAGAACTGATTATTTCAGAATGTGGTGTAAGTTATGCAGATTCATCAAAGGGCTCAATGGGGCAAAGGCAAAGAAGACTTCTTTTCCCTTTGAAACTTATTTGAAAACTGCCTCAAAATTAACCATGTTAATGCAAATGGTTTTAAACATGTTGTGCAGATCACCTGGAATCAACCGAAAAAACAATTTCATGTCATCCCAATTAAATTTTTTTGTTTTCGCGCTATAATCGTCACTGCGCTGCGCATGCGGTAGCCATTATGGTTATATGACTTTATTCTTACGTTATTCATGGCGTATTTGGTGAACTCAGAGTTTGTGGATTTGGATCGATCAGTCTTCCTCTCACCGAGATCAACTTCAACCACAATGTGCTGAAGAAAAAGCAAAAACAATCAGAAACCTGTCAGTGATTGTCTTTCTAGAAAACTGTAAAACTGTAATTCAACTCCCTTCCAGTCTTCTTCTATGAGTGGTTGTGACCGAGCCCTCCTTTTAAGATTAACGGCCGATTTTGGATTGGACCTGGCTTAGAAACCTTGGATGAAGTTGATTAATTTATGGTTGTTAAAAATCAGCTTAGTGTTCACTAATGAAAGGCTTTTATCTAAATATGTGCTCTCATTTACAAAGCATAAATACCTGTAGTCACCTATTCAAAAAGCTTTGTTTTAAAAATGTATTACTGCAACTTTGTAAAAGTATAAGTAGCCGTTCAAAAACAGAAGTTGCCTTATTTCAAATCTGGTTCCTCAATGATGTCTTTTAGTGAAGACAAGCTTTTTTTGACACTCACTGTTCCCCAGTTCTCGATGAATTTGAAGTAGGCCTGCTGATTGTATTCTTCTGGTAAAATACAAACAGCTGCTGCAAAGTCCTCTGACACAGAATACTTCTTGACTCGAGCCAAGTCCATTTGGTATCGAGCTCGGCCACGATTGCACACATGCTTCTCTTCATAAAACACATTGTGGTATTTTGATGTTTCTTTCTTCACCTGCTCATATCCTAATAAGGAACAAAACCGGGAGAAGAAAGAAAACACAATTTCATCTAACAACACAGCTCTCTGATTGGCCCCCTTTCGTTAGAGACAAATTTGTAAAACTGCTTGCCACCTGGGGGAATATTTTGTTACGCAATACAACTTTTTAATTTATGGTTTTCTTCCAGATAACATAAGTCTAACACCTGACTTTTCTGTAATCAAATATCCCTGAAAAGTGGTGCTAATCAATCAAAACTGACCAACAGAGGTTCCTTCTTTAGTTGTTTCGAGGGAATTGCCCTCTTGTCTTATCTTGCCTTGAATTATTATCGAAGAGCTGACTAGCCTGCTTATGACACACATTTTCAAGAATTTTTTAGCACGAAATTGAACTATTTTACTTACTTGAACTTAGAGAAAAGGCAACGTTCCACAATATTGCATTGTAACCACCTGCAGAATAAAAACGTATCTTTAATTTAACCCACGATGTCTGCGTTTAGGATGTAGAAGTAGAACACAAAACGACTTGCTCGACCCTTTAACTCCCATGAGTGACCAAGACAGAATTTCTTCTTACAATATGAACACAATATCAAGAAGAAAAATGATGAGATTAAAGAAACTCCCTTAATTAAGGGATTATTAGTTGATCCGATACCAAATTCTCCAAACCAACATCACAAGAACTATATGGCAGACAGTAGGGAGAATTACTGATAAGATCCTGGGAGTTAAAGGGTTAAAGAAGTAAAAGAAAAGACAGGTTTACAGAATAGTGTTTTCTTGGCCTTACCGCTAGATTGTACATCCACACTAAGTTTTTCCTGGTAGCTTTTGGAACCTGAAAAAACTTCCTTTTTATTTGTTTTGACGCAAGACTGACGTGGGGCAAAGCTGACCTGATCTGGTACAACATACTTCTTGTCCAGAGAGACTTTGTTTTCTTCCCATGTCAGCTTGAAGACTTTTCTGGTGAACAGGAGTCCTGGGTCAACACCACCGTTTGATACATCACCCCCCTCAGGGTTTCCTTCCAGAAGATTGTAACCAACACCTACAAAGTGAAGACCTTTGGGCGAATTTTGGAAAGCCTCTACATTGATTGCGGCACCAAGCATGGCACCAAGGCAGAGTAAAAGGTTCATGATTTCCCCTTGCCTTGATAGAGCCGTCTGTGTAAGATAAACGAACATACCAATAACTAAATCTGTGGAAAAATTTTATATGTCTTTTTAGCCTCGGTGTTTCAAGAATTTGTGGAAGAAGCATACGAAAATATCTTCAAATCGCGGATAGAGTCTTTAACTTCAGCTTCGAAACGACAGAAAGATCTTACTGACAGAGAATTATACGGCAGGAGGGGTTATGGAAGATGTATGGTAATGTTATGAAAACGTGGAAAATTTAGAAAATTTCTAAACGCTTAGTCAAAGAAATTAATATTAAAAAACATCTATCTATTTTAAACACAAAAGACTATGAAGTCAATGCATACCCGTTTTTGTCAGTTGCTACTCAGGTATCGGCTTCGGCTCATTGTGTCTTTCGAGTATTTATGCCATTTTACTTCGTTGTCATCAAATAAAATAATGATCTATCGAAACAAAGCATGGAAACTGCACCAGAACATTTAACTAGCTGGCCACGGGCAATCAGATGGTTTTCGAGTCATCTTAATTAAAATGCTACTTCAATTTCTCAATAATAAAAAACCGATTAGTTTACACTTGCTTGCTATTTGATCTTAATTTCCACTTTATGAGTTTTGCAATTGCTGTTCAGGTCAGATCTCTTTATAGTTACTCAGCTTGAAATAAAGCAAGAGTGTCTCAAAAGGAATTAGTTTTTTAACTTGACACATGTTTAGAAGGGGATTTCTTTTAGTGAAAGAATTGCTCTGCTTCCCGAGAAAAACGATTTTATCTACGATAAATCTGTTTTCTTGAAACTATGGAACTATCTGCGAAAAAAATGACATATTCATACATGAAATTTAAAGGTGTAATAGTAACACACGATTGATAGAAATTAACTAATCTTTATTTTCAATTTGCTCCGTCTCGACGGAACTTTTGGTCACGGGACCTGTAGATTAGGAGTGGAAAGTCAAGAGAAAAAGATCGATTCCTGTTCTATTTACTTCGTAAATTAAAGTAGAATACTAACATCTGGCAATCTTACACGACTGTTTGAATTCCGAAAAAAACTTTTGAGCTGTGTTTACCAAGCGGTAAACAAAATAGGGCGTGATGGTCATTTCTCATCATTTCGTTTTTTCTT